ATTATTGCTTGATATGGGCTAGACCAAGCGAATTGTAAATTAGCTGGTGTCTTGTCATACTATGAAATCAAACTAAAGTTATCAAATCAACCTTGAACTCTCAGATAGAAGGTGAACCTATATGTATGTAAATTGTATGTAATAACTAGTCGGTGTGATCTGTAAAATATTTCTCTTTCATTCCGTACTGGTATCATTTGCAATATTGTGTTCCCAATTATTAACCAATAGAACAAGCGTTTCGGTGGTCACGTAATGATATTTTCTGCCAAATTATACTTTTTCTAAGGAAACCCTGTCCATGCTTTTTCACTTTCCTTATGCATTAATTAGCTTATCTTCTATGATTTTTTTTGGTAAAAAACTTGTTGAAATAACTCATGCTGAGAATTCTATATTGTACCAGATTATAATATTGAATAAAACCATTAATAATAATAATAATAATAATAATAATAATAATAATAATAATAATAATCACGTATATTGTTTTTCTATGGTTCCTACACATTAGAATTCAGTTTGCAAACAGTTATGATATTCGTATTTTATCTTATTCAAAAAGTATTTCTTTTTCTATAAAAGATTCATACAAAACTATGTATTGTACATTTTTTAAAGTCGTCAGTTTATAGACATTCCGGCATTAATATTCATTGCACTATATAAAGTAAATAAACAGTGACAAGTATAGGGTCTAAATTGATTATTCATTCTTGTGATATTTATCATCGTAAGAAGTCCCAAAAAAGCCTGTCAATTGTACATAAGGCTATTTCACTTGTGGTCATGGTTAAAATTACGAAGATTCTTAGTGATCTTTTTTCTCCATTTTCATCTTATATTGACGTGAATATGCTCCAGAAGATAAAATAATTTTCCATTCGATCAACCATTGGAATTCTTTTTAATCATAGAAATTACTTCTCATTTTTAAGGGTACTATTTCCACTAACCAGATTTAATTAATTATTATTAACCTATTGTCATAGCCATTATTTCTTATAATCTTTGATTGTTTGCTTGTTTTGTTTACTTATATACATGTTTCTCATCAGGAAATACATTTAATGAGCTTGATTATAATCCAGAGGAATATGGGGAACTAGTCGCAAATTTTTTAAAGGTTGAAGCACTTGAAAAACAAATCGAATCAATGCCTTTATACCCGTCAAAACTTGGTAAAGAAATTACTGAATCTGATGTTCAGAGAAATATACTTTTTTATTTAGTAAGTATGATAGTTATAATATAGTTGGTAATTTAATGCACTATATTTATCAAGTACAAGTCCATACACTCGAATTTGAGCTATGATTATTTTTTAATAGCTAATGATAATGCCCAAGTAAATGGATACTTTGTTTTTATTCAAAAACATGAAAATTGGTACAATGATGCACTGAATATACATGTGTCGTGCTTTATCAATTGATTTATGTGAGGTTTGGAATACTCCCTGGGGGCCCAAACAGAAGTTGTTGATTTATACGAATATTCGTCAATATTAGAACGAATAATTTGACAGAAATTGGGCGCCGAGTATAGAGAAATCATTATATGTGAAAATTTCATTTGAAATAATCTCAGCGATTGAAATTTAAATAAATTCAACGTTTTGTCCAGCAAACTAGTCTGCACTTAAGTATAATAATCGTAATCAAAAGCATCAAAGAAATATATAGCGTTTAACAGTCAAATTTATACTGTGCTTATCCAATCATATTTAGATGCTGAATTTAGTAAATAGGATAACATGAGTCGGTTAAATGCGAATCATGTGAAAAGTTCACGAGCGAATGTATTGTGTGTGTATGTATAAGACCGACTTATGAATAGCTAAAAGTCGGTGTTAAATTTGTTTTTATATGAAAGAAAAATAAAAGTGCAAGTTAAAGGTTAAAAAAATGTTTCTGAATCACCAATGTGCATGTAAAATAAAAAACATCAAATACATTATTGTGTTGGTAAAATAAACCACATTAATTTCAGTCAGAATAACGATATATGTAAAATATTCAGGTTGGATAGAGAAACGGTCCAATCGCTTGTTAATGAATATTTGCCAAGTAGTTGCTAGTTGAATACCATCCTTTCTGTTCACTCTGTTTTTGTTCGCCCATATATACAGCGCTTCTGCTCCCAATCTTTATGTGTGCTAAAACCTTTTTGAAGTGTTTTGGTCCCTTCAAAATAGACCTTGTGTCGTGTTTCCAACACATGTAACGCTATCGCTGACCTATTCTCAAGTTTCTTCAAATCAACCGAGGATTTGGAAACATCTTTCAAACATTGTTTGTGTCCTTCAATCTCAGACTCAATTATCTTGAAACTTCACCCATATACGCTGCATTTTAATCATGACAGTTGATCTCATAGACAATACTCTGTTGCTCTTTCTTTGGAGATCTTGCACTTTTATTTTCCCTTTATATGAAAACAAATTAACAGCGGATTTAAACTATTAATAACTCAATCTTGTACATACATACACATCATTTATTCAATCATTTATTTTCACACTGTGAACTTTTCGTGTTGTCAATTTCGTAAAAAACACCCTTACCGCAAGAAGGCAGTGAGTAGAACTTCCATGACAGTGACTGTATATGCGTGTCCATGTGAGAGCATTTTGAGAGGGAGAACCGACTCTCTTCATCCTTGGTTGTACCAAGGCATCAGAGGGCGAATGGATACAGTTTCTGAACTTAACAGTTAACAATTGAACGTTTGATGTCTTCATTACATAGTTTTCAGTGTTTTCATTTATTTTGTCCGTTTCGATACAATATTATTTTTACTTTTTGGGAATCGATGAATATATCTTTAAAAAAAAAACAATTTTTATAATATTTCCTTAAGGAGTCATATCTTAAATATCAAGTCAAACGGTTTATTTTTAGTCCGGTTGCAAATTCTTTTTCTTTTACAATGTAACAATAAGTTTCACGTATTGTGTATAATTCGAAGTTGAGTATTTGGAATTGAATTTGACTGCTAACTTCTTTTGATTGTTCTTAGATTTCATCATTCTGATCATATTCATTTAATCATCACTTGTATATCATGTATGTGAAGAAGACTTGAATTCACTTGGTCAGACATCTGATTAATTATAGTGATAATCGATTGTTATACATAATGTGTTTTCACAAGCACAGTTCATCAAACAAGAATGATTTTTGTAAAGAAATCTACTTTGCATGAATTCATTCTGAAAGTTAGTAAATGGAAAGTATGATGATAATTACATTTATAGAAAAACTCAAGTTATTTAATGTCCATGGTTTAACGTAAAAGGTGTAAATACCCGTTTAAATCTATTTGGATATATTTCTAAAGAGATGACTAAATTTATCATTCATGCGGACGAAAGCCACTCATGAAGCTGTTTATAAAAAATGTATGCCGTTTTCAAAGATTTATTCAATCAGTTTTGTTTCTGATAAGTTTTGCTAATTGAACGCTATTCTCGGTTCCTAAGCTATTCTCGTAACCTCCAAGCTAGAACTACACACCGACTTAAACACGAGAGAAAAGGCGCAAAATATGCGAAGGTTGATTTATGTACAGAGAATATAGGGTTTTATAGTATTTTAGAAGTTCTTGGGTTTTCCTCAAAATTCTGGAATGCTACTAAACATAGTTGCAGGGTAGTAATCAGCCAGTCAGAAACTCTGCATGTGACTTTTCACTTTCGTGATGTTTCTGGCAAAACTTCTAGTGAACGCTGGTTGGATAAAATGCTTCTTACTACTTCCTGAACCTTTCTCGTCTTCTGCGAGAAATTTTCTGGTTCACCCCAACAGTTTATTATTTGAATAAAATGACCTGTGTTATTTCTTTTCTAGGTATCCAAATATTTTGTTGAATCGCCTGGTTCACATTGTACTCCCTTGGCAGGTAAATATTTACAACCACCATGGTCACCGCTTACTCCTTCGTTCTCTGAATCTTCAGAAACTGATATAGACTGTAAGATTGTTGACTAGTAATGTAATACACATCCAGTACCAAGCTTTCTTAATCAGTGATACTTAATAATATAACTTTTTTCTGATTATTGAAGAAAAAATTTATATATATATATATATATATATATATATATATTCGTGATTGTGTATGGAGAATGTTACTGTGACATTTTATTTTGTTCCCTAAAGTTAGTTCGCTTTTTCTTCCTGTAATAACACAGTTGTATTCGGAATTACTCTTTCTTAATCTGTTTCATTGTTTGTTTACTTGTAAGTTTTTTCTGTGTATATCATAACGTTACATGTTATTTTTAAATTTATTCCTAACTGTAGAGAGAGAGAGAGATAACATGATATGTAATATGTGCATTAATGTTGTAATTGATTTCTTTCGTGGTGAATGTTTACCATTATGCTTTTTATTTGTTGGATCACGTTAGTTGTATATGAATAGTTTATACATTAGGCTAAGTTATTATTTATGATCTGAAATTGTTGTACAACTTAAAATCTGGTTGCATACGGTCTGTTTAAGTACTATAAATCTCTCTTCAATTTTTTTACGTCAGTCAAAATGCAGTTCGATGCAGGTAGCTATGATAAATAGTAGAAAACTTGTTCCAGTTATATAAATTCTTAAACGACGACTATTTGACCTAACACCTTGTCATCTACTTGAAATCTGTGCCTTGTTTATATCGTAACTCCAAGTTATAAGTAATGAACTAAAGACTGATAATCCAATAAGATCAATTTTGTATTTTCAACCTGCAATGTCCCATGTCACTTGGACATATTGAGAAAAGTAGATATAAATATTCATTTTGCTCCGTTTAGGAAAAAAGAACACCAACGACCTTAATAGTAAATGTTATGATCTTTATGTTGTATTTTTCCAGCCTCATCAATTCTCGGATCCCGATTTCCTACTACATCAAACGATTTGTCCTGCGTTTCGCTAGGTTATCTAAGACTAAATTGTGTCTGGTGAAGACAATGAATGTCAAGCATGATAATTCCAGCTTTCGGTTGTTAGGACCTGTATTTATTTGTGACACATAATTGATTAATACTGCAATGCGCTATACAGAATGTAATGATGACTACATTCTGAAGAAATATAAGAAGAGAAGAAGTATTCCAAATAAGAAATAAATGTTATGAAACAAGATGAATTTTAGTTCTTGATACTCACATATGATTAATAGGCTAATAGAGACATGATTATGTCAAACTCATACAAATTTTATCACTCATTTAAACAAATTAATTGTCTAAAAATCATTTCATGGTCTAAAAATACAAGTTATATCAGTTTTACATATTTCTGGTAGTTGAAATCCTTCTAGATCATAGATTCTTGGTCCGTCAGCAACAAAATTGAAAAACAGTTGTTGAGTCCAGCCAACATTTCCTTCGTACCAAAAGCAAACTGGTACACGACTGAAACAATAAAGAAAGCGAATATTTTAATGAAATCAAGTCATTATGTTTCGTATCCTTGTGGATAATTAATAGATGGATAGATTTATTATGATAATCAAGACTGTATTGCTGATTCATTCATTGTGTGATTAAAGGGGATCTTTAGTCACAGGGAAGTGTTTATGGTTTTGGTGGATACAACAACGTAAGAATATGCTCATAGCATGTCAAAGCGTGTTAAAGTCACGTCACTGGCTGATGGCTAACGTAGGTAAAGTAGCATAACTGGGCATCGTGTTTGATGAGATGTTAAACCTGTAGGAAAGAGCAGTTTTATATTTCAAATTGTGCTACATCTGATATGATCTTCGAATTAACAAATGATTTCGCATGAAAGGTTTACCAAATCATATTATTTAATTAGTTAACAACTATTTTGAAATTACTACACATGATGATAAAGATACTTTCAGAAGTATCTTCACTCAAAATGCTTCCCACAACTTTACGAGGAATTAATTATTATTGTTATAATTGTTTTGCTAATAAACGACCCAGCTACTCCTATTGCATTGTATTCTTAAACAACGACATACGACGAGACCCCAAAAATCGGAACACGTTGAACAGAAACGAAATAACAAGGGTAGGTGAACAGCAATCAATCGTTAGAAAAAACGTTCATATATTTATAGTATATGCATATGAAGCTTCTAGATGTTTCACCAATAATCTGCCAGAGCTGACTGGATTAGAATTAGCCAATCAGCGTGCGCCGTCACGATCATGCACATAACGTGCCTTAATCCGGTTTATTTCTCGCTAACAATTACTTACCCACTTGCGCCTCTTACCCCTCGAGAAGTAGAAAAGTCCACCCACCAGCGTTCTGCAACAAACTCTGTTCTGTGCAATCTTTTCTAGTTGCAAAGGTTTGGAAACTAGAAAGTGTTGCGACATCATGGAATGAGTCGATAGCCGTCCCTATCTTTAAAAACGGTTCACGTTGTTGCTGTAACAACTATCGGGGGATAAGTCTACTTCCGATTGCGTCCAAACTATTGGCTTCTGTCATTGTTCGTAGCTTGTTTAAAACCCGAGAACGATTGACTCGCGAGGAGCAGGCTGGTTTTCGTTCTGGTCGAGGATGCATTGATCACATCTTCACCCTCCGCCAAATGTTAGAACACCGTCATACTTATCGCAAGCCAACAATCGTAGTGTTTCTTGATATCAGGGCTGCCTTCGATTCGTTGGACAGGACTGTTCTCTGGGATTGTCTATTGAAGAAGGGTGTGCCTGAGAAGTTCATTAACATCTTAAAGGCCCTGTATACGAACACCTCATGCAGAGTGAGGGCATACAATCACCTTTCTCCCTTGTTCCATCCAAGCAGTGGGGTTGAACAGGGTTGCCAGATCTCACCATTCCTCTTCAACTTTGCCATCGACGACATCCTGGAAACAGCTCTGATGGATGTAATTAATGGCGGTGTGGATATGTTACCTGGAGAACAACTTCTCGACCTCGAGTATGCGGATGATATTGGTTTACTGTGCGATAATGCCCAAGGCATGCAATCTGCATTTAATCAGTTGGCAATCAGTGTCCGCAGGTACGGCATGTACTTTGCACCATCAAAGTGCAAAGTACTCCTACAAGATTGGCAGGATTCTAATGCTGTACTCACCCTAGATGGTGAGCAGATTGAAGTAGTTGAGAAATTCGTGTATCTAGGTAGCTAAATCTTGAAACATCGACTTCGGTGGCTTGGACATGTTCTGCGAATGCCGTCCCAATGAATTCCTAGTCGTGCATTATTTGCCGACGCTGAAACTGGTTGGAAAAAGCGTAGAGGTGGTCAGTGTATGACATGGTGTCGTGGTATGAAAGAAGGCTGCAAAGGGCTAGCTTCTGTTGGTCCTTCACGACTCCCTGGATGGGGTCCTGGAGATGTTGAAACACAGTGGCTAGAGAAGTTATCAGATATGTCTCAGAATAGAAGCCAATGGCGATCCTGCTGTAACCTTCATTTACTTTCTTCATAAACAGTGGTTATAACTTTTTTAACTGAGAGAGTTCTTCTGGTTGTACATTTCAGTTTCCCCATCATTGCTGTTCTCTTTCTTTTTTTATCCATTTTTCTTCCTTATGTATACGCATCTTCCCCCATTCTCCTCACATTCTCATAATTTTGTGTGGCGCATATGTATCTGGTGCCTTTTTGTACCAATATGTATGTGTTTAAATAAATATTACGCTATTCATCCTTTCCACGTCTGCTTCCAATTCGAGACACAGTTTGTTCTTTGACCTTCCTCTTTTTCGTTTCCCTTCAGGATTCCAAGTTAGCTCTTGCTTCGTGATGCAGTTTCATGATTTCCGTAATATGTGTCCTATCCACTCCCAACGTCTCTTCTAATTTCCCCTTCAGCTGGAAGCTGGTTTGTTCTCTCCCATAGTAGGCGGTTACTGATGGTTTCCGGTCAACGGACATTGAGTATGTTGCGTAGACAAGTGTTTGTAAATACATTTACGTTTTTGATGATGGTTGTGGTAGTCGTGGAAGTTCCAGCTCCGTAGAGTCAAACTGTCTTGATGTTCGTATTGGAGATTGTGACTTTGGTATTGGTTGGCAGTTGTTTCGAGTTCCATATGTTCTTCAATTGTATGAATGGTGCTCATGCTTTGCCAATCTCCGCCTTTACGACTGCATCAGATTTGGTCTGTGTACGACTGATCCTTACGGAATTCATCCTGTTGATCGCGAGGTTGAGTGTTTACTGCGTCTTTCATCTGGTTCAACAACACTCTGTTGAAAACCTTTCCTGGTACTGACAGTATTGTGATGCCTCTGTAATTCTCACATTCGCTCGGATCTCATTTCCTTGTTATCTTGATGAGGTGTCCTTTTTTGCTGTCCGTCGGCACTTGTTTTTCCTTCCAAACTATTCTGACGATAATGTGTAGCATGTTTGCATTTACTTCTGTGGCTCGATAAACTTTGATAACTAGAAACCAGTGAATATCCGCTTATCCGTAGTACATGGTTTAGCAGTTAGCACCCACAATCTCGGCATTGAGCAAACCTAGGACATTCAGACCGAACAGTTAGCTGATAACTTTCAAATTAACATTTTCGGCCGCAGCTCACAAGCTATTCGAACTATCGAACTGAAGAATTTTAAAAATCTTCCATTTTATACTAATTACATATTTGTAATAAACGTAGATGAGAATTCTTAGTGTGATCCAATACTAGTTCCTCGTTTTTAAGGGTCATCTAGTTGAATTCCGTAGGTGATGTAAGTTATCTTATGATTTTCTTTCTAATGTTTAAATGCTTCATATTTAAAATACCAATTGATGCAATACTACATTATTCAGTATAAAAGAAAATCAGTTTACTGGTCAATATGACTGAGAAGTAATTTCTGTTGACTATTATTATAACTTGTTAAATGATCATTTTCTGAAGAGGATATTGTCATTTCACTTTTATAAGAATTGGAACTATAACCCCTAAGGATTTTTTAAATATTAACCTTGTCTGTTTGAATTCCATAATATAACAGAAGAATATGATGGAAATGAACTTTTTAATGAACCATTTATGATCACTTATAATGTATTTTTAAATGGAGAATCAATTTCATAATACGAATGTTATATTATTTTTATTAGTGGATTATCAAGTCAAATAATGTGGATTTTTCAAGGTTCAGAAACGGGAAGAATCATGTCCACACTATCTAAAAATCAAAGACTATTTCAAACCAAACATAAAGATGTATAAAACTGTCATTAAACGTCAAGTCGTTAGTATTCATTTGAAACTGAAAGTCACTAGCAATAACTTGATGTGTACAATCTAACTCCACAAAATTATTATTTGTGTCTAAATAGGTTAGCGATAATTTTCTAAACTGTGAATCTAAGTGATATGAATGTAAACTTAGAACTGTCATAAGATTTGATATGAGTGAATATAAACCATGTTTATTTGCTTTAACAAATGGTTATTTAATGTTTAGTTACATTTCAATTCCTTTAATAAATCTTCAACGTCTTACGAAAGAATGGATAGCAGAAAGAATAAAACTCATACTAAGCAAGGAGAATATATGTAAACAGAGTGACACAACAGCTATTTACCGTTTATTTTAAGGTCGTCTTCATTAGTTGGGAATGCAGCTCTATCGGATATCCATTAACTGCTATTACTTACTACTCTATCACTTAGTTTCTAGACTTTATGCTGCAACATTGAGAGTGCTGTCCACTCTCAATATCTGATAAACTTAGCATCAACCAACTTTCATGAAATGATGATTTTAAGAAATATTTTATGTAAAAGAGAAAAATCTTGAACAAAATGTTAACTTTGAAACATACTTTTTTGATTCTTCAACAGTCCATCCATAACCACCAAAAACGGAATGACTAGTTAATGAAGATTTATTTATTTGCTTCACATTATTTTTATGATTTTCATTATCAGATGGTATAATCCACCATTGAATAGTTTGATTCAATAAACCCAATCCCAATTGTTCAGTTGTACCGTTATAATACTTAGCAAATTGTTCCATGAAATTTCTCTTAGGTATCTCAAATGGTTTACGATATACGCAACATGGTCCATAACCTGAGTCGATTGGTGCAATTAAATAAGCTGTATGATTAAAGTTAAACAGGATACATGGAAAATAACTGGTTGGTTCAAATATTGGTACACAATAATCTTCATAATATTCAATCGCAATGCTTAAATCATTAGCATACCATGTCATACCACGTCCAACAGCATATGGTAATTGTGGCGGAATTATTTGTGGCCATGGTGGCAAAGGCATTTGATCATCATCTCTTGGTGTATAGTAAATAGAAAATTCAGTATAAAAACGTTGGGGTAAAATAGGCGGTGATGGTGAATTCCCTTCAACTATCGAAGAAGATTTTGATTTATGATAAAGCTGTAATAAATTAGAAATCGGGAATATTGACTTTATACGTAACGGTTAAATAATAGCGATTGCATCTTTTTTTCTCGTAGTAATGTTGATAATTAACAGTGAATCATACTGAAATTTTAAATGAAATTATCAAAAAGACATTTTAGTCAACCAGTCACAACGTAGAACTTCGTACGTACGTACATCAGTTCGATTTGCCATACCACATTAGCACAGGAATGCAGTTGTCGATTCAAATCCCATAGTGGTAGAAGTAGTAAAAGTATAAGCAATAATGTTTGAAGATTTCATTCAAGGAGTATAATACAGTGAAATAAATTTGGAAAGAGAAAAAGATAGAGACTTGAGGAATTCAGTAGATTAGATGTTGGTAGAACACAAAGAGTGGATGCACCTTCGCCATTGCAAACGATTTTGAGCCACATCATTCAAGGTCTCTAACCGTCGATTGCTATCATCTTGTGAATTCCAACCAGGTAGACTACACCTACCAACATGGCTTAGTCCAATTGTCATTGACTTCATTGATTTATGCCATGTTTTGGTCTGGCCGCCCTTTGCTTTCTTCCAACCCACTGCACCATAAAACATTATACGTCGGGGCAGTCGGTGGTTGGGCATACGTAACACGTGTCCCAGCCATCTCAGCTGATGAATTTTCACTACTTCATCAATCAATTTGCCATCGTTACCTAGTACCCGTTTCCTAACAAGTGCATTACTTACACGGTGGCCCCAGGATCTCAGGGGTAAACCTGTCAGGGTCTGCTGCCCTCCCTCGCTTCAGATTTCCTATGACTTATTGAGATATAGTGAAGAGAACTAATCACTCAAGATTTTTTTTACTAGTAATCCTACGTTCACTGACTTAGATATAAATGAAAAAAATTTTTAATGATATAATTAACATAAACTGTCTTATTGAATAAATTAGTTTAAATGGTAAATGTTAAGTTAACATTTATAAACAAGTTGGAATTATGGATTTGTCTGTTGTTGATTTAAACTACATGTTAACTTCCTCACAAGAATCATCATTTTTCGTTATAAAGCAAACATGTTCACGTAGTTCTAAGTTGTGTGTTCAGAAAAATAAGGCGATATCAATAAACGTTTTCTGCACTTAATACTCCCAGATGTAAAATGTCTTTTTCAATGAAACTAAAGGTGAGATCGTTGATTTGTGTTGTTTTTAAGTTGTTCCGAAAATATCAGTAATCTGTGGATGAACTGATTTTCTTCAATAATAGACTCACTAGTATTATTCTAAGAACATCTTAACTTGCCGTCAGTGGACACTGCAACAATATCGATATCTTTTATTACTTGACATGTTTTTCTTTGCTGCATGGCTCATTGAACGAGTCAAAAAACTTACTAAGGGAATTCAAAAGAGTAGAGTACTCCCATTTAGCACATCAAAATAAAGATTTTTGTAAGTGACTAACGATTTCAGTTAGGAAATGTGTTATAAACGTAGAAGGATGCTGGTTATAACTCTAGGGGTTTCTTGTTATAACAGTCCTTTCACTTCTCACACGTATGTTGGACGTTAAATTAACTTAGACGAATATCTACACTAGATATCCACCCATTGTCTATTCTACAGGACTTCAACACAACTCAGATCAAGAACACGAGATTAGCCTGACTATAACATCAGTATATTTCCACACCAAAATCCGACACAAAGAACAGTCAATCAATAAGTGTCCATCAACAAGGAACAGTTCATACATAATGAGGATAGGGGAATATATATAACACACATAACACCTGTCATCCTATCTGTCTGACTCATCAAGACAACCAATTATTGTCATTCTCGCCCACACATCACCACCCTCGCGAAGTTCGATCGTATGATTTCACTTTAGGGTCTATTTGAAAAAATTTCATTTGTTTCCGTTTCCTGAATGACTTTCGTTTAACTTCTGATTTCAGATCATTTTTCTCATTTCAACTTGTGGTGGTGGTGGTGGAATATCAAATGTATCACATAATACTTCCATTGGTAATGGTTTGAGTTTAGATGACTCATAAACACATTTTCTATCTCGCAGTTGATTTACATGTCTAATAATTAGTGTATTTTCGACCATCACTTTATATAATACTGTACCACGTCGTTTTTTTATAAACCCAAATATCCATTTTGGCTTGCGAGGCCGGAAATCCCGTGCATAGACTGAGTCACCTACTTTGAATTCTCGAATTTTCGGGCAATTCCCTTTCTTATTTTTTTGCAGTCCACTCAGTCTTTCGGGATCAAAAAATGTTCTAATCGGTCGGCCCTCTTTTGATAAATATGCTTCCATCAACAAGCTGTCAAATATAGATCCCGATGACGCTGCATTTGTTTTGGTTGTAGATATTTTCACTAGTATCTAACTTCAAAAGACTTTTAATGTATGGTGGAACTTCAAAAACCAACTAAGATAACATGTTCCTGTAGAAATTGGTCCTTTTATTTTCAAGATATCGCCTGCAAATGTCCATTTGTAAGGGAAATTATTTTTTGTTTATCTGAAATTCTCAATTTTTATTTAGTACCTATCTTCATAAATTTAAATATAAAGGTAACATTTTGAAATTATTCTCTTACGATTAGAACAGCTGACTAAAAATAAAATCTTAAATATGGCGCGAAAATGTTGTAAGTAATAAACTTTCGGTCTAGACATTTATATAATAAATAGTTTCAAAATCATTCAAAATTGACCTATTTAAAGTATTAAGATTGTGTAAATCAATATATTCGCTATTTTTATTGTACTATATGTTAATTGCAATCTATAAATTAATATTCAGAAACCTGCCATCCATTATTGACTCCTGTACTTCTCAGGAGTTCGTTTTAGTTCGTATTACATGGAGTATCTAGGTTGAAATTTGGGGCTTCAGACGTTGCTGGCAAACTTCTATGAAACATGAATGTTTATACTGAAGGTTGGATTAGTTGCTTTAACGTGTACAAGGATATTTCGAATAGGTATTACAGAATGAATATGCCAGTTTTCTGCTTACCAAAATTATTGAATCTGATCTTAATTAATTGCGGAAACAAGTTTTGTGAGAAAAAGGGTGTTTAAAGGATAACTGTATTTCGCTTAGCTAATGTCCATGTAAAGTTGACATATAGTGATTGAGATATTGAAGCATGAAATTAATTCAAGTCTAAATGAGTATTGTATTATTACATAACAATCTCATTTGTACCATCTAACACACTATATTAACAAATTGATATATGAACACAAGTGATGATGTAACACATATTACTATTGATATGACGGGATGAAAAGTCAAAATTAGATTGATTTACTTATTATGATTTTTGTTCAACATTAGATCTGTTTTAATTCAATGCGATGATTAGTCAGTATAGTATTTGGTTTGTTTTCCTGCATAACATACGATATTCTTGTATTAAATTAAAATAAACTATACTCAGCATATGATTTGTTATAACTGTATTTTTCATAAATGTGATTTTATTCTAATTATTAATCAAAATCGGTGTATGAATCAATATACAAGTGGAGTTTATTTCCGACAAGGGTCGTTGTTGTTGTTCGTGTTTCTATCTGATTGTGAAATATATATTCCTCTTCAGAACTTGGACTTCTCTCTCTATTTAGCGGGGCTGGGACGCATCGGAATAGTTAGCTGATTAGTTATCGTGTCATTGAGTCTTCGTTCCGTTTGCAGATTTTAGGTGAACTCGTAACCTCTCTAAACATAGCACCTTTTCATAAGTACTCAGTTATAATTATGATTAGACGATGAAATTAACTATGTTGACATATTTTTCGTGGACCATCAAACTTTTAAAGTCATTATTTTATGGTGTTTATTTTTATTTTACTCTAAACTATTAGCACAAATAAAGAACTACAAAATCGGGTTCTATTCAACAACAGACAACAAAACAATAATATTATTCTTACCAGAAATGATGCATCTAATGTTTGTATATGAAAAGAAATCCGAATCCAGCAGTTTACTAAAATTCCGAAGACAGTCAACTTCATTTTATCATAAATAAAAAATATTTGGATGAGAGATTCTTCTGAGTTACACTTGGTAAATTGTCATCTAACCTATTTACTTGTATATACGTTATACACGTACATCCGTGTGAATACATACAGATTTTCATAAGCATAGGGATGTTATCATATTGAATTTGGTATTACCTGAAACTATTATTATGTTAGATGGCGAATGAAATGTATTTATTTTGAATGATCAATACATGCACCCATTTCATTTGTAACAACCTATCACAAATATCTATAAATGACAAGAGGTTAAATGTTTATCTAAATAAGAAAATGTTTTTCAAATCATCTATTAAACATTATAAACATAATTATGAATAATATCTCTGAGTTTAGACTATAAGTACTATAAATGTCTCGTTTAATATTGAAAGTGAAATTTATTTTATTTAAATGACCAATAGATGCGGCAAATTTATTTATACCATTCTGTCATAAACTTTTTCTAAATTGCCTAATTCTTATAATGAACATACGAAGCAATTCAATAAAAATATCATTATGCGTTCAAACGACATTTACCAAGAATGTTATATTGCATAAATGCATAAAGAATATTTATTAGGCAATTTATGCATAAAATGGGTTTTGACTAGTATAATAAATGACAAATGAAATAAATATTTATTACAAATCATTATAGTTTTTAAGTAATATTTCTTGGCATCAGGCCGCCTTCGATTCGTTGAACAGTACTGTTCTCTGGGATTGTCTATTGAAGAAAGGTGTGACTGAGAAGTTTATTAACTTTTATTTTATTTAAACACATAAATATTGGTACAAAGGGGTACCATATACATATGCGCCACATAAATCTTCTTTGATTTGTGTGAGGGCTGTGATACTGCCCAGGTTCCCAAAACGAAGCAGGTGGGTTTCTCAAGAGGCCATACCCAGCACCTTTGACTTAAAGGTCTAATCCATAAAGCAGTGGAGCACTGTGAGGTGATGCAGTCCCATGGTAGCTGGTGACCAGCGATTGGTTCATACTCCATTTGTTGCTTCAGGATCCTGGAGCCCGTGTGTACCATTGGTTTGGAATCAGAGTTTTCCAACTCCCATAAGTGAACTTTCAGTGTCCACCAACCCGGTTAAAGCGCCGGACATTCGCTTTTCGTCCTCTCAACTTTGCAAACAACAGTAATGCCACTAGAAGGCAGTGATTAGGACTTCCCTGGCAGAGGCGCGTGGTGGTGTGAGAGCATTTCGAGAGGGAGAGCTGACTCTCCCCACTCTCTGCCGTGCCAGGGCATTTGGGGGCTTATTAATATCTTAAAGGCCCTATATACAAACACCACGTAGAGTGAAGGCATACAACCACCTTTCTCCCTTATTCCATTTAAGCAGTGTTGTTAGATAAGGTTGCCCAATCTCACCATTCCTCTTCAACTTGGCTATTGATGACATTCTGGAAACAGCTCTGATAAATGTAGGTAATGGTGGTGTGGATTCGTTGCCTGGAGAAAGACTTCTGGAACATGAGTATACGGATGATATTGTCTTACTGTGAAATAATGCCCAAGGCATGCAATCTGCACTTAATCAGTTGGCAATCAGCGTCCGTAGGTATGGTATGTGCTTCGCACCTTCGAAGTGCAGAGTACTTTTACCAGACTGGCAGGACCCTGGACAGTTAGAAGATAGTAGTCGAGAAATTCGTGTATCTGTTCAATTGCTGGTTGTGGCGTCAGCGACAAGTCAATTCGTTTATGGTGAAAGCTAAGGCTGTACAGAACTGGCATCTGTTGGACCTTCACAGCTCCATGGTTGTAGTCCTATAGACGGTGCAACACAGTTTTAGAGACGTTATCAGACATGGCTCAGAATAGAAGCCCGTGGCGATCCTGATGCAAATTTCTTCATAAAAGTAGGCGTAACTTATTTAGCTGAAAGAATTCTTTCTGGTTGTAGTTTTCCTAACTGAAGTGTTTATTTCATTATTATTATTTCACTCTCATACACTAATTTCTGTTCGTTGTTGTTCTTTTTTTTATACACACTTTACATTTTCTATCTTTTCACAACCTTATTGTTATTGTGTGATGAATATGTATTTGATGCCCGCTCTTGAACCAATGTTTGTGTTCAAATAAACAAATATCAGTAACAGATCTCGGACACCACGCACTGATTCACTTTATAAATTATAGTCATTTATACTGATTAACCCCTATTTATTATTAATTCTACTTTCATCAACAAAGCTCCCACTACGAAGCTGAACTTCTCGCTTAAGTTAACTTAGCACATACTTTTATTAGTGAAGTTCATTAAAAATGAATATTTAGCATCGTGGATTAAAGGCTTTCAGTGGTGCTATTTCAAACATCTCTTTGACAGTGTAAAACGTCAATACATTAAAATTTTCCAAACGCCTCAAACTAATTTCGGTCAAAAAAATTTGATAAGCGGAAAGGCTGTGCCAAAAAATGTTTTGAAATAGCACTACTAAAAGCCTTTATTCTGTTTAACTTTTTAGGATAATTGTAGAATCAAGCGTAAGCTTTGCTTTCTATTCTATCGGTGTGACTTCTTTGGTAGATACAAGTAAAATGTTATTCTCAATTGGTAGTAACAAAAAAGAGGGACCTATAGGTCTTCATTCGGGGGTTAATAACATTTTGCTCAGAGCTACCAATTTAGATGTAAGATACGTTGCCGTTAATATAGATTTTGTTCTTCCGCTGCTTGACCCTGAAACGTCACCACCTTCAAATTAATGTTGAGTAGAAATATGCTTTTCGTTTACTTCAGACCTCTTACCCTAATTTTTCCAGTTTTTCTCATTTTTTAGCTTTTATTAGTTTTGCTTTTGGAATTATGTCTCTTCTGAAATGTAAAATATTTTGACCAATGCCTTTTAATAATTAACCTTTTTATTCTGATTATTCCATTTTCGATCCATAGTTTTACGTTTAATGCATATTATGATTAATTACGATTGTCTAGTTGTTACGTCTGGCCGATTGTGAACGCTATATTTGCTTCCCTAAGCTAGTTCCGTACCCCCGAGCTAGAACTATTCAGCGACTTGAAGACCAGAGAGAAGACACGAGTATCAGAGAAAAAACACTTTACTGCAAGGTTCATTTATGTACAGAAAATACAGGGGTTTTATAGTAATTAAGAGACCTTGAGTTTCCATAGTAGCAGTGTGTTAAACAGCCAATCAGGACCTCGTTATTTTAGTAGCATAGCTTCCAACTAGTCGTTGATTGGTTGGGGCTTTTTATGAGCCTCTGATAGAGTTTACTGTAAGCCGACTTAACACTAGTGACCAGTTACTTCACTACATATCCGGTTAACTTTTTAAGCTCAACTATCTGGACAACTAAGAATCTTCTATCGTACAATGTATTTGTTTGAAACACTCAATTTTATTGGAAGCTTCATTCTATTACGATAAACATTGTTATTCTTAATTAGCTTCAATAAATCTATATTATTTATGATCTTAAAATGTAGTAGGTTGTAAGCATTAGGGGAGAATCTAGCTGAGTAAAATTAATACATGTTTCTATCTCAATATTTGTTCTTATTATCTTCAAGGTAATAACCGGAGTTATGTGTGTAAAATATAAAACAATTAATTAATACAAGCTTGTGGTCTGTGGCTCGGGCGGCGATATGCTAGATTTTCAATGAAAGAGTGCCCCCAAATGCCCTGGCACGGCAGAGAGTGGGGAGAGTCAGCTCTCCCTCTCGAAATGCTCTCACACCACCACGCGCCTCTGCCAGGGAAGTCCTAATCACTGCCTTCTAGTGGCATTACTGTTGTTTGCAAAGTTGAGAGGACGAAAAGCGAATGTCCGGCGCTTTAACCGGGTTGGTGGACACTGAAAGTTCACTTATGGGAGTTGGAAAACTCTGATTCCAAACCAATGGTACACACGGGCTCCAGGATCCTGAAGCAACAAATGGAGTATGAACCAATCGCTGGTCACCAGCTACCATGGGACTGCATCACCTCACAGTGCTCCACTGCTTTATGGATTAGACCTTTAAGTCAAAGGTGCCGGGTGTGGCTCCTTCCACCATCGACGATCATATTTTGTAATCGTAAAGCAGAAACCTTACTCTTTCATTATTTATTATTTAAACATATAAATATTGGTACAAAGGGTACAATATACATATGCAGAAACTTATTGATTGACTGTTCTTTGTGTCGGATTTTGGTGTGGAAATATACTGATGTTATAGTCAGGCTAATCTCGTGTTCTTGATCTGAGTTGTGTTGAAGTCCTGTAGAATAGACAATGGGTGGATATCTAGTGTAGATATTCGTCTAAGTTAATTTAACGTCCAACATACGTGTGAGAAGTGAAAGGACTGTTATAACAAGAAACCCCTAGAGTTATAACCAGCATCCTTCTACGTTTATAACACATTTCCTAACTGAAATCGTTAGTCACTTACAAAAATCTTTATTTTGATGTGCTAAATGGGAGTACTCTACTCTTTTGAATTCCCTTAGTAAGTTTTTTGACTCGTTCAATGAGCCATGCAGCAAAGAAAAACATGTCAAGTAATAAAAGATATCGATATTGTTGCAGTGTCCACTGACGGCAAGTTAAGATGTTCTTAGAATAATACTAGTGAGTCTATTATTGAAGAAAATCAGTTCATCCACAGATTACTGATATTTTCGGAACAACTTAAAAACAACACAAATCAACGATCTCACCTTTAGTTTCATTGAAAAAGACATTTTACATCTGGGAGTATTAAGTGCAGAAAACGTTTATTGATATCGCCTTATTTTTCTGAACACACAACTTAGAACTACGTGAACATGTTTGCTTTATAACGAAAAATGATGATTCTTGTGAGGAAGTTAACATGTAGTTTAAATCAACAACAGACAAATCCATAATTCCAACTTGTTTATAAATGTTAACTTAACATTTACCATTTAAACTAATTTATTCAATAAGACAGTTTATGTTAATTATATCATTAAAAATTTTTTTCATTTATATCTAAGTCAGTGAACGTAGGATTACTAGTAAAAAAAATCTTGAGTGATTAGTTCTCTTCACTATATCTCAATAAGTCATAGGAAATCTGAAGCGAGGGAGGGCAGCAGACCCTGACAGGTTTACCCCTGAGATCCTGGGGCCACCGTGTAAGTAATGCACTTGTTAGGAAACGGGTACTAGGTAACGATGGCAAATTGATTGATGAAGTAGTGAAAATTCATCAGCTGAGATGGCTGGGACACGTGTTACGTATGCCCAACCACCGACTGCCCCGACGTATAATGTTTTATGGTGCAGTGGGTTGGAAGAAAGCAAAGGGCGGCCAGACCAAAACATGGCATAAATCAATGAAGTCAATGACAATTGGACTAAGCCATGTTGGTAGGTGTAGTCTACCTGGTTGGAATTCACAAGATGATAGCAATCGACGGTTAGAGACCTTGAATGATGTGGCTCAAAATCGTTTGCAATGGCGAAGGTGCATCCACTCTTTGTGTTCTACCAACAACTAATCTACTGAATTCCTCAAGTCTCTATCTTTTTCTCTTTCCAAATTTATTTCACTGTATTATACTCCTTGAATGAAATCTTCAAACATTATTGCTTATACTTTTACTACTTCTACCACTATGGGATTTGAATCGACAACTGCATTCCTGTGCTAATGTGGTATGGCAAATCGAACTGATGTACGTACGTACGAAGTTCTACGTTGTGACTGGTTGACTAAAATGTCTTTTTGATAATTTCATTTAAAATTTCAGTATGATTCACTGTTAATTATCAACATTACTACGAGAAAAAAAGATGCAATCGCTATTATTTAACCGTTACGTATAAAGTCAATATTCCCGATTTCTAATTTATTACAGCTTTATCATAAATCAAAATCTTCTTCGATAGTTGAAGGGAATTCACCATCACCGCCTATTTTACCCCAACGTTTTTATACTGAATTTTCTATTTACTATACACCAAGAGATGATGATCAAATGCCTTTGCCACCATGGCCACAAATAATTCCGCCACAATTACCATATGCTGTTGGACGTGGTATGACATGGTATGCTAATGATTTAAGCATTGCGATTGAATATTATGAAGATTATTGTGTACCAATATTTGAACCAACCAGTTATTTTCCATGTATCCTGTTTAACTTTAATCATACAGCTTATTTAATTGCACCAATCGACTCAGGTTATGGACCATGTTGCGTATATCGTAAACCATTTGAGATACCTAAGAGAAATTTCATGGAACAATTTGCTAAGTATTATAACGGTACAACTGAACAATTGGGATTGGGTTTATTGAATCAAACTATTCAATGGTGGATTATACCATCTGATAATGAAAATCATAAAAATAATGTGAAGCAAATAAATAAATCTTCATTAACTAGTCATTCCGTTTTTGGTGGTTATGGATGGACTGTTGAAGAATCAAAAAAGTATGTTTCAAAGTTAACATTTTGTTCAAGATTTTTCTCTTTTACATAAAATATTTCTTAAAATCATCATTTCATGAAAGTTGGTTGATGCTAAGTTTATCAGATATTGAGAGTGGACAGCACTCTCAATGTTGCAGCATAAAGTCTAGAAACTAAGTGATAGAGTAGTAAGTAATAGCAGTTAATGGATATCCGATAGAGCTGCATTCCCAACTAATGAAGACGACCTTAAAATAAACGGTAAATAGCTGTTGTGTCACTCTGTTTACATATATTCTCCTTGCTTAGTATGAGTTTTATTCTTTCTGCTATCCATTCTTTCGTAAGACGTTGAAGATTTATTAAAGGAATTGAAATGTAACTAAACATTAAATAACCATTTGTTAAAGCAAATAAACATGGTTTATATTCACTCATATCAAATCTTATGACAGTTCTAAGTTTACATTCATATCACTTAGATTCACAGTTTAGAAAATTATCGCTAACCTATTTAGACACAAATAATAATTTTGTGGAGTTAGATTGTACACATCAAGTTATTGCTAGTGACTTTCAGTTTCAAATGAATACTAACGACTTGACGTTTAATGACAGTTTTATACATCTTTATGTTTGGTTTGAAATAGTCTTTGATTTTTAGATAGTGTGGACATGATTCTTCCCGTTTCTGAACCTTGAAAAATCCACATTATTTGACTTGATAATCCACTAATAAAAATAATATAACATTCGTATTATGAAATTGATTCTCCATTTAAAAATACATTATAAGTGATCATAAATGGTTCATTAAAAAGTTCATTTCCATCATATTCTTCTGTTATATTATGGAATTCAAACAGACAAGGTTAATATTTAAAAAATCCTTAGGGGTTATAGTTCCAATTCTTATAAAAGTGAAATGACAATATCCTCTTCAGAAAATGATCATTTAACAAGTTATAATAATAGTCAACAGAAATTACTTCTCAGTCATATTGACCAGTAAACTGATTTTCTTTTATACTGAATAATGTAGTATTGCATCAATTGGTATTTTAAATATGAAGCATTTAAACATTAGAAAGAAAATCATAAGATAACTTACATCACCTACGGAATTCAACTAGATGACCCTTAAAAACGAGGAACTAGTATTGGATCACACTAAGAATTCTCATCTACGTTTATTACAAATATGTAATTAGTATAAAATGGAAGATTTTTAAAATTCTTCAGTTCGATAGTTCGAATAGCTTGTGAGCTGCGGCCGAAAATGTTAATTTGAAAGTTATCAGCTAACTGTTCGGTCTGAATGTCCTAGGTTTGCTCAATGCCGAGATTGTGGGTGCTAACTGCTAAACCATGTACTACGGATAAGCGGATATTCACTGGTTTCTAGTTATCAAAGTTTATCGAGCCACAGAAGTAAATGCAAACATGCTACACATTATCGTCAGAATAGTTTGGAAGGAAAAACAAGTGCCGACGGACAGCAAAAAAGGACACCTCATCAAGATAACAAGGAAATGAGATCCGAGCGAATGTGAGAATTACAGAGGCATCACAATACTGTCAGTACCAGGAAAGGTTTTCAACAGAGTGTTGTTGAACCAGATGAAAGACGCAGTAAACACTCAACCTCGCGATCAACAGGATGAATTCCGTAAGGATCAGTCGTACACAGACCAAATCTGATGCAGTCGTAAAGGCGGAGATTGGCAAAGCATGAGCACCATTCATACAATTGAAGAACATATGGAACTCGAAACAACTGCCAACCAATACCAAAGTCACAATCTCCAATACGAACATCAAGACAGTTTGACTCTACGGAGCTGGAACTTCCACGACTACCACAACCATCATCAACGTGTTCCGATTTTTGGGGTCTCGTCGTTGTTTAAGAATACAATGCAATAGGAGTAGCTGGGTCGTTTATTAGCAAAACAATTATAACAATAATAATTAATTCCTCGTAAAGTTGTGGGAAGCATTTTGAGTGAAGATACTTCTGAAAGTATCTTTATCATCATGTGTAGTAATTTCAAAATAGTTGTTAACTAATTAAATAATATGATTTGGTAAACCTTTCATGCGAAATCATTTGTTAATTCGAAGATCATATCAGATGTAGCACAATTTGAAATATAAAACTGCTCTTTCCTACAGGTTTAACATCTCATCTAACACGATGCCCAGTTATGCTACTTTACCTACGTTAGCCATCAGCCAGTGACGTGACTTTAACACGCTTTGACATGCTATGAGCATATTCTTACGTTGTTGTATCCACCAAAACCATAAACACTTCCCTGTGACTAAAGATCCCCTTTAATCACACAATGAATGAATCAGCAATACAGTCTTGATTATCATAATAAATCTATCCATCTATTAATTATCCACAAGGATACGAAACATAATGACTTGATTTCAATAAAATATTTGCTTTCTTTATTGTTTCAGTCGTGTACCAGTTTGCTTTTGGTACGAAGGAAATGTTGGCTGGACTCAACAACTGTTTTTCAATTTTGTTGCTGACGGACCAAGAATCTATGATCTAGAAGGACTTCAACTACTAGAAATATGTAAAACTGATATAACTTGTATTTTTAGACCATGAAATGATTTTTAGACAATTAATTTGTCTAACTGAAGTTTACTAAAAGCTATCAATTTAATTTCGACTCAACTTACCGGCTTTTAAACACAGAAGTATGTTGCTGATCAATGTACAACTAATTTATTTATGGTTTATGATTGACACTACTGATTTATTTGCAGGTAGGTCAAATAGTTGTACACATGAAATTTTGATTTACACTTTAATTACAGTTAAATTAAACATAAATGAATATTACTAATGGAAGAGAAATTAAAGAATAACAGGGTTGTTTTCTCTTTTTGAAATCGCAAAGAAATTAAAAAGATGGAAGAAATCTATAGGCAATCAAAAGAAAGAAACAAATCACTTTATCTAAATCCGATTTTTAAAAGATTTGAGATATTTACACATCATTAATTAGATAATGATTCATCAAGCTTAGAAATATTCCTCGTTCATCTCTTCACTGTCAATAATATAGTTTCCAATTTCAACGTCATCATCATCATCATTTGCAGCAACAGTTGTGTAGTTTTTATGAATTCGTTTTGAGTTCGATGAATAATTAGAATCATTTAATCGTGATTGTTTATAATTACTAATGGTTGACTGAGAATAATTATTTGATGGCAATATAAATGATGTTGGACTTCTTGACTGAAATGGATCCAAATATCTAGGTATTTTGTTGAATTGTTGGTTCCCTCGTTTTTGTTGACCAGTAGGATGATTGATTATTCGGTCAGTAGAATTATCATCATCCCAAGCACCTAGAATTTCATTTTCATATTCCACTTCATCCATTTCATTACCATCGTCATAATCTGTGTTATCAACCACTGCACCAATATGACCTTTGACATTATTAGAATTCATTGAATAATTAGCAGATGTACAATTATATTCCATCATATTGACTTCATCAGCTGCTTCTAATTCTTCAATATCAGGTATATGATCATCATCAATAAATGAATAGTTTCTGTTTAATTCCATATACCCATAATCTCGACTGATATAACCTGATTGAATATGTCTCCCACTGTGATGATGATTATGATAACGTCCAGAAAATTTTGAAGAATTATGTCGTAAATTACTTTGTTTGCTAGAATATTCTGAATACTTGTCAGGAATTAATTGGTTAGTAGGTTTAACTGTTTTGTTAATATTCAGAACAGATGTGCTGCCACCACGTTGAATAATTTTCTTGGTTTCATTAACAGCGCATCTTGCTTCATGTAGTTCAGCTAATGAAAAATGAAAAAAAATGAGAGAGAACTAAAGGAAATTTCAACAAAAAATAATTGAATTCATTTATATATCTTATTTACTTGTAATAAACAGGATAGTTTAATATGATTCTATAGTATTTCACTTGAGAAGTTATTTTATCTGATTATGTACGGATGAATTAAAATGAAAAAAACAAAGATGAATTTCTGTACTATGATCACTTCAGACAAAAATAGGTCAAATTAATTGTGAATAATAAAGATGTTTTGTGATTTTCTAATTTTGAACATTGAACTTATTCCATTTGTGTGTATATCGCTTACTCTATCTGTTATATCCCCTGGTGAATTATGAATGGTAAATCTGAGGTCTATTTATGGACAAATGCAATATATCTATCTCCTATTGTATAGTTGTTAAATAACTGACCTAATCGTATTCGTGTTCCGCTTATCGTAACCTTTATTTTGACCTCTGAACTATTATTATTGATTACTTTCCCCCTATCCACAGCTACATTGGCCAATTATTGTACAAATGTTATTTTTCTATTTTTTGGTATATGGGGTCTGTTTGGTTAGTATATAAACCCAGTATGCTTGTGAATAATGATTCATATTGCCGAGGCTGTTATTTGTGTTCTGGACTCAACTGGCTGGGTTATGCAGATCGCAGGATCGGTTAGCACTCTGGTCTGGTCGTTCGGGGTTCGAGTCACTGCTCCAGTCGATAATTCGCTGCTCTCTAATTGACGGTCTCATCACCTTGTAGTGCCGTGCTTCGATCATAGTTCGTACTTCGATAACCGTTATTAATACCAATCTTAACGGTGTATAATATCAGAAGGCAAAGGGAAGCGGCAACTACATTTTTATTGATAATCGATGCAGACCAGAAAGTTGTAAGCACATGAGCAACTGTAAGCAAGCGAAGCAAAGATGATGCGTATTGGAGATGGCTGGGATGCCAACTCATTTTAAGCAAGCGTTAATCAATATTTATAGGCAGGCAAAAATGAGTGACAGACATATGATGAATTAGATACGAAGTGTACACATATGCGCTCATATAAAAAGTACTCAAGGTTAATAAGCAAATGATTAACAAGATCAAAAGATGACTCAATGTACAGGTGAATTGGCTTGGCCAGTAACTAGAATAAAGTATATGGGCCTAACATATGAACTGGTACTACATAGCCCCCTTGTAGAAAATAGCACATTTATAAAAAAATGTCTGTTTTCGAAAAATAACACTGAAGGGGTATGAGGATAACGTCGAAATGTGGGAAAAAATGGTACAATACCTGATGAATTACAGTGTCATGTGAGGGGTGAGCGTATTAAGCGAAAGTGTCATACTTATGTAAAAAGGAACATGAATATTGTCAAAGTGCGGACAAAAATAGGGATGCTAGCATGTGATTATGAGTACATTAGTAAGCGTTCGAAAAAATTTAACATGAATTTATGTAGTGACTGTCCGAATGATAAAATAACATGTTCGTATGAGCGATTTGAAATATAGTGAAAATAGAGTATAACAGTAATTGCCCTGTGGTGCTGATTGAATATGAGGATAAATAACAGTGAAATATGTTCTGATAAGCTGCAGTCGAGTAAATAGAGTCGATTGGCGATGAGTGGATTCGAATTTACACGATTGGAGTTTACGTGGGATAAAAAATAATCCAGCCGTAGGATGATGACTTCATCAACGGTTGATATTCGTTGCTGCACTGATAATGATAATAAAATGCGAAGTCAGTGTGCGTTGTCGCTTGCGTTGAGTTATCGTTAAATATGTATTAGTAGAATGACCAGAGGAACAGGATAGTGACTGATGAAACGAGATATGCGGAGTCGTATTCCCTTATGGTCATGCAGCCTATCGTGGTTTGTGTAGTTAGAGGGATATGCGCTCAACCTCGTTTGTTACGAAACCGTTTGAAGGCGTAATAAAAATACCAATACATATGATTGTCGATGACAGCGAGTGAGACTGACTTGAATGTGACGAACAAGAGTGTATCTTTGAGAGACTAGCTCTAAACTCTATGTTCTGGTGTACAGTACAATGGAAATAAAATATTAATTGCAGTAATCGAATTGTGATTATCGGTGATGGATGATGCAGCATTCAGATATACATGTGAATGAATAAATAATATGAACATAATCATTACTAATCGGCTGGTAATGCGGCGTCAAATACTTGGTTTATGTATAGACATTAAAGTAGGGATCATCGTGAAACCAAAATTGCTGAAGCTCAGTTAAGGTTGTCGCGTAAAAAGTAGAAAACGACGATTGCTGAGTACCGATGAGATGAATGAACATTAGTTGTCTATCGAGAACATAAGTTCCTACTATCGGGAGTATGACTCCAAACTTATGTCTATGATAGAGTGTAATATTAAGCCGAAAATGACATTAAAAAAAATTGGAACGAACTCACCCGAATCAGGAAAAATTTTCGTCATTGGATAATAAAAATAATCCAGTGAGTTTCGAATATCATAACGTGTAATGTCCATATCATTATAATTTGTTCGATTAGTGATATGACTGCGTAAATGTCATAGTTTAATGTCAATACGAACAAAAATAATAATTCCACGTTAGATGATTATATGACATTATTGTAATAATGAGCATATGATGATTATTTGAATCATAACAGAATATGTCGTCGACGGTTCCATTTTTGGTTTGTGTTCGCTCGTTGTGGTCGCCAATTCTGTTGCGTGTTCCAAATACAGCTCACCAATATGTTGAGTGTTCGTTCGGCGAGGCATCCAATTTTGTTACGTGTTCGCATCTCGGGCTAACCAATATGTAGCCGTACGTTGAGGTTGCCAACTTTGCTTCGCGTTCGTAATTCGGGATCGCCAATAGTGTTGCGTGTTCGTACGTCGGGATTACCAATATGTAGTGTAGTGCTTCGTTAATCGATCGTCTTGATAACCGTTATTATAACAATCTGAATGGTGTATAATATCAGAAGGCAAAGGGAAGCGGCAACTACATTTTTATTGATAATCGATGCAGACCAGAAAGTTGTAAGCACATGAGCAACTGTAAGCAAGCGAAGCAAAGATGATGCGTATTGGAGATGGCTGGGATGCCAACTCATTTTAAGCAAGCGTTAATCAATATTTATAGGCAGGCAAAAATGAGTGACAGACATATGATGAATTAGATACGAAGTGTACACATATGCGCTCATATAAAAAGTACTCAAGGTTAATAAGCAAATGATTAACAAGATCAAAAGATGACTCAATGTACAGGTGAATTGGCTTGGCCAGTAACTAGAATAAAGTATATGGGCCTAACATATGAACTGGTACTACAACCTAACCCATCAACTAATAATCCACTCGGCCACAGACATAACACTATCCATTACATGACTTTAACTTATACTTGTCTGGCTACAAATATCGAGTCAAGCTTTGTGAGATTGAATTGGCACATTTGCCTTTTCCCCTTAGTTGATCTGATTGTTTGTCTTGATCAACGAGTGTATGAAATGTACGTATCCAAAATTAATTCTCGTATTTGACTTATTCCATTATTCTCTAAAGCAAATTAAGTTCATAATTATACACGAGGGTAGATGGGATGAATATTTCGTTAATATCATCATACGATCAAATTGAAGTCAAATCAAGTCAAAAAAGTAGTATCATTAGTAATAGAAAGCATTAGATACAGGAGAAAGAAAAAAGGTACAATGAGATTTCAGGACTCAGGTTCTAAGGATAAGGTAAAGAGTAAATGCACCTACACCATTGAGGACAATTCTGAGCAATACAAAATCTCTAACATTTGGTCACGATAATTGTGCAGACCAAAAACAAGAAGTCTACACCTATTTACATAGCTCAATTCAGTTGTTAACGACTTTAGGGACTGGATGATGACAAGTCAGACAGTAGCTATATGGAATAATCGATACCATGTAAATTTTTGACCAATAATAAATATACGTAACAACTAAGTCGAATAGTGCTAACATCAATCTACTATAAATTTTATTCTTGGTAGAATAAAAGATTATAAAAATGAGGTAAACTGTACTGACATAATAGGAGTTTTAAGTAGATTCAACCAGAGCTATGTTAAAGGTGAATAGTAATTTCGAGGTTTTATAGTGATTGATCTTAATAACAAATGAATCTAAGTTCCTTAACCTTATGTTACGTAACTGAAAACTATAGAGCAAGGACAATGGCACTAAGTATTTTTTTAAAGCTAGAAACCATCTGATGTGACCAGAAAAAAACAAAACTCCAAATCAGATTTTTATTTATTTATTTATTTAAATACATATATATATTGGTACAAAAGGGCACCAGATACATATGCGCCACACAAAATAATGAAAGTAGGAAGAGAAGGGATGAAAAGATAAGGCGGACTGAAATGTACAACCAGAAGAACTCTCTCAGTTAAGAAAGTTATAACCACTGTTTATGAAGAAAGTAAATGAAGGTTACAGCAGGCTCGCCACTGGCTTCTATTCTGAGACATATCTGATAACGTCTCTAGCCACTATATTGCACCATCTCTCGGATCCCATCCAGGGAGTCGTAAAGGACCAACAGAAGCCAGTCCTGTACAGCTTTCTTTCATGCCACGACATCATGTCATACACTGACCTCCTCTCCGCTTTTTCCAACCAGTCCCAGAGTCGGCAAATAATGCACGACATGGAAGTCTCTGGGACGACATTCGTAAAACATGCCCAAGCCACCGAAGCCGGTGTTTCAAGATGGTGACACCAATTGAATTATCGTCTCTGCACCCGAACACACGACGCCGAAACTCTGCATTACTAACATGGTGTTGCCACTGGATGTCAGCAATCTTTCGGAGACAACGATGATCGAACACAGAGAGACGTCTAACATCCTCAACTCGAAGAGGCCAGGTTTCACAAGCACAGAGCAAAACTGCTCTCACCGACGCGTTGTAGATCCGACCTTTTACAGCCAGACTAACATCACGAAGGCGCCAAAGATGGCCCAGATTGGCATAAGCCGCTCTGGCTTTCATTATACGTGCATCAATCTCATCACTCACGCCACCACCAGCACTTATATAGCCACCTAGATACACGAATTTCTCAACTACTTCAATCTGCTCACCATCTAGGGTGAGTACAGCATTAGAATCCTGCCAATCTTGTAGGAGTACTTTGCACTTTGATGGTGCAAAGTACATGCCGTACCTGCGGACACTGATTGCCAACTGATTAAATGCAGATTGCATGCCTTGGGCATTATCGCACAGTAAACCAATATCATCCGCATACTCGAGGTCGAGAAGTTGTTCTCCAGGTAACATATCCACACCGCCATTAATTACATCCATCAGAGCTGTTTCCAGGATGTCGTCGATGGCAAAGTTGAAGAGGAATGGTGAGATCTGGCAACCCTGTTCAACCCCACTGCTTGGATGGAACAAGGGAGAAAGGTGATTGTATGCCCTCACTCTGCATGAGGTGTTCGTATACAGGGCCTTTAAGATGTTAATGAACTTCTCAGGCACACCCTTCTTCAATAGACAATCCCAGAGAACAGTCCTGTCCAACGAATCGAAGGCAGCCCTGATATCAAGAAACACTACGATTGTTGGCTTGCGATAAGTATGACGGTGTTCTAACATTTGGCGGAGGGTGAAGATGTGATCAATGCATCCTCGACCAGAACGAAAACCAGCCTGCTCCTCGCGAGTCAATCGTTCTCGGGTTTTAAACAAGCTACGAACAATGACAGAAGCCAATAGTTTGGACGCAATCGGAAGTAGACTTATCCCCCGATAGTTGTTACAGCAACAACGTGAACCGTTTTTAAAGATAGGGACGGCTATCGACTCATTCCATGATGTCGGAACACTTTCTAGTTTCCAAACCTTTGCAAACAACACCGTCAGTTCCTTCGCCAGAATGTCACCACCATCTTTAAAAAGAGCCGGAGGTAAGTCATCTGAGCCCGGTGATTTGTAGAGCTTCAAGAGTTGGAGTTCCTTGCGAACATCCGTCTCGTTTGGTGGATCAGTCGTCACCGGCCATGGGGGGGGAGGACAAACTGGTTGATGTTGCTGGAGCAGCAGGCCAGTTGAACTGCCCTTCGAAAAATTCCGCGCACCGTCCAAGACGTCGAGAGATGTTAGTGATTGGCATCCCATCATCCTCGTAGATTGTTTCACTCACATCAGACTTCTTGCTGCCAGTGGCTCGGATGAGTTGGAAGAGCTTCCGGCAGTTACCAGATGCAGCTGCTGCTTCCACCTCATTAGCACGCTCCGACCACCAGGCTTCTCGGTCCTTACGCAAGCTCTGTCCGATTTCACTACGTAACAGCCTTCGATTGTGATCAAACTCACGGTCACACGGAGTAGACCGACGGGCTTCCATCAGTTGTAAGGAGCCAGAAGAAACCCAATGCTTATAAGCGGGACGTTTCGCGAAGCCGCAAGCGGCTTTACTCGCCATTTTCATGGCATCGTGAAGATGCAACCAATGCTCATCTATACTTTTCGGTGGGATGGTAGCTAGCCTAGAAGCTAGCTCCGCTCGATACTTACTTGCAACAGATGTTGCAGCCAGTTTACTAACATCGATCAGTTGGTGGTGGTCAATCCTTCGGCCACTGAAAAGTAAGGTGAGATTGGCACAGACCAGGGCATGATCAGACTCCAGATAGGTACGCCAAAAGAAGCGGCAGTCTTGTACACAACCACGCCAGCGGTAGCTGATCGCGAGGTGATCAATCTGAGTCCAGGCTTGGGATGCAGAGGGAGGACACCAGGTGGCGCATCGGCGATGTTTGTGCCGGAAGTTAGTGCTAGCCAGAAACAGGTTGTGGTCTGTGCACAGTTGCAGCAAACGGTCCCCGTTATCTGTCCTGCGACCAACAAGTCCCCATCGGCCACCTAGACGACTCTCTTCTGTGCCTAGACGCCCGACCTGTGCATTCAAGTCTCCGGCTACTACTACAATATCTGTCTAACGCGCTTTCTAGAGAAGAACTGTTAACTGATGGTAAAACTCATCCTTGATTGCATCCAGGCTGCAATCTGTCGGGGCGTAGGCGGAGATGACGAAAAGACACCGTTTCTCACGCCGATTTCTTCTCACTTTGATGGAACTTTCTAATCTAACAGCACATAACCGACTGTTAATGGGGATCCAATCGATTAGTGCTGCCTCAGCTCTAGCGCTTAGTGCAACACCAATGCCAGCAAGACCGGACGAAGATGCCACAGAGTCTCCGGATAAGCGCACGTGAAACAAGCTTTTCGAAGCGACAGATGGAGAGCGAATTTGTAGTACTTCACTAGAGTCTTGAATACGGGTCTCGGATAGACAGCAAACATCAACATTAAGACTTTCTAAAGACATAGCCAGCCCCATCTGTTGTCCGATCTGCATTAGTGTGCGAACGTTGAAGGAAGCCAGCTTGTACGGCGTACGTGGTTTCAGAAAGACTGCTTCAGTATTCATAATCGGTGGAAGCATTCATTTTCAACCAGACAGTGACTGGAGATCGTTTATATAGGACAGAGTTTCCACCATGGGCGAGCTACTGCATAAGTTGGAAAGGAAGGATACACAATTTGGGAATAACGGGAGTGAAAAAGCGACGTAGTAAATAATAGTAATAATAATAATAATAATAATAATAATAATAATAATAATAATAATAATAATAATAATAATAATAATAATAATAATGGTAATAATAATCATAATAATAATGTAAATTGTTTTTCTTCTATTAGGAACGAGAGCAGTGTAGTTAGTGTAGTGAGTCATTTCATGTCAGATTATTTAAACAAAACTGATTACTGTCGCCGCTGATATAAAGTCAACTACTGAATATACATTTTCGTGGGTTGGATTGTGATTTCTTGACCGATAAAGCTAAGAATGACATGAACAACGAAAATATAAATTTCGAGCGGGAATTGGGAGATTGATCAACATATAATACTTTGTTCAGTCACGCAGTATTTTAGAAATTTCCTATTACAATACACTAGCAGACTATCTGAGGTTGCGAAGAAACGTGAAGACATGTAGTTATAATAATTCAGGCTATAGTACAAATATAATCACTTACCAAACTTTTCAAAAGTCCTATGTCTATGACGATAAATCCACATACGACGATTGTTATTAAAGTAGACCGACGGATCAGAAGTTTCGCCTTGTAATCGATCCAACGCAGAACTAACACACTGTTGTAACTATTAGAAAAAACAAGTAAATAACTTTAATAGAACTTTAACTGGGATGAATCTTAAGTGAGGTGTGCATTATAATACAAACGAAAAAAAAACTGAATGAACACACGTTTAGTGTTTGATATGTGCAGGTAATCAGCAGGAATTTGAGGATAGTAAACAAAAATTCAAAATCTATGAAGTTTAAGAACAACTATAACTTCTTTCTGATAGGAGATTAGATAAAACCGAATACGCAGTAGTGATGTCTCACTTATATCTACTAATTTATATTAATGCAAGGTAACAGAAACAAAATGTTTTAGCAACAATCATATTGCACGGAATCGAGTCTTACTTCTGCTTGACGAGGTTCAGTAGTAAAATAGCTTGACCTTCAATCATTAAACTGCACGTTCAAATGTTCGTCTACTTAGTTTGGTACAGGCAGTCAAGTGGTACAATTGAGCCTTACGCATCAAGTGTACCTCAATGTCGAGCGCATGCATAAGTGTTAGGTTTTAAGTTACATATGACTGACTGACCGAGTGCATGAGTTTGTACGTCATATCCAAGTTTTACTAGTAAACAATAAACCTTTAACCAGTCCTCTTCCAAAATTCTTGATTCGTTTCATGACTGAGTTGAGCTAGTGCATTTTTCTGTTTATGATAAAGTAAATTGATCTCCTAGACGGATAAAATTTCGTGTAAAATCCTGTCTACATTCTTCTACTTTCTGGTTAATCACGGTTAGCTAAGAATTTAGAAATCATTTTAATCAGATAAATAACCCTATAACATCTTTGAGAAATAGCCGTATTTACTTATCAATTTGAATAAAAAACATTTATTCATGCATTATCTTCCTACAAATTTGGATTTTATATTAAACATTTTGTTTCCCGATTTAGTTCTTTTCTTCTGAATTGTACCAGACATGTTCAGTTTACTGCTACCGTTAATATTATTTAGTCGTTTACGATGTGTTATATCCCCCGGTGAATTACGAATGTTAACTTCTAGGTCTATTTATCGACCAATGTATTATGACTATTTCCTATTGTACAATTGTTACGTAACTAAACTATTCATATTCGTGTTTCTCTTATCATGAGCTTTATTTTGATCTTTGATTTATTATCATACGATTCTTGAGTTATACTCAGTTATTGATTACTTTGGTTTGTATAAAAACCCAGTATGTTTGTAAATAATGATTCATACCACTGAGGTTGTTATTGGTGTTTTGGACTTAACTGGCTGGGCTAAGCAGATCGCAGGACCGGTTAGCAATCTAGTCTGCTCGTATGGCCCGCAAATGCCCTGGTACGGCCGAGAATGGGGAGAGTCACCTCTCCCTCTCGAAATGCTCTCATATGGCCAGCGAATATATAGCCTCTGCCAGGGAAGTCCTAATCACTGCCTTCTCGTGGCACTACTGTTGTTTACGAAAGTGAGAGGACGAAAAGCGAATGTCCGGCGCTTCAACCGGGTTGATGGACATGGAAAGTTCACCTAGGGGAGTTGGAAAACCCTGATTCCAAACTAATGGTGCACATGGGCTCCAGTATCCTGAGGAAACTAATGGCGTATGAATCAACCGTTGATCACCGGCTACCATGGGACTGCATCTCCTCACGATGCTCCATTGCCTTGTGGATCAGACACTCAGATCAAAGGCTCCGGGTGTGGCCCCCTAAGAAAACCACCAGCTTCAGTCTGGGCACCTGAGCAGTATCACAGCCCTCACACAAATCGAATGAGATTTGTGAGGCACATATTTATCTGGTGCTTCCTTGTACCAATATTTATGTGTTTAAGTAAATAAATAAATAAAACTGCTCGTACGGGTTTCGTGTCACTGTTCTAGTCGATAATTCGCTGCTCTCTAATTGGCGGTCTTATCGCGTCACGCATTAGCAAGGCATCCACTCGGCCACAAGATATATCACGATGGTTTCTGTTAATTTCCTTTCGCTACCAAATGCTCTGGAACGGCCGAGAGTGGGGAGAGTCAGCTCTCCCTCTCGAAATGCTCTCACACCACCACGCGCCTCTGCCAGGGAAGTCCTAATCACTGCCTTCTAGTGGCATTACTGTTGTTTACAAAATTGAGAGGACGAAAAGCGAATGTCCGGCGCTTTAACCGGGTTGGTGGACACGGAAACTCCACTTAGGGGAGTTGGAAAACCCTGATTCCAAACCAATGGTACACATGGGCTCCAGGATCCTGAAGAAACAAATGGAGTATGAACTTATTGTTGGTCATCTGCCAGCATGGGACTGCATCTCCTCACGATGCTCCACTGCCTTACGGATTAGACCTTTAGGTCAAAGGCTCCGGGTGTGGCCCCCTAAGAAAACCACCTGCTTCAGTCTGGGCACCTGGGCAGTACCTCAGTACACACAAATCAAATGAAATGACAATTACTACTGGAAATACTGTTCTAGCTTCAATTAAAATCCGGATAATTCACATTTATTTTTATTTTCTTATATACTATATCACTTATCTACTCTCTTCTATTCTCACTTTTGTGTATTCTTATTTTCCAACTTATACAACAGCTCGCCCATAGTGGAAACCCTGTCCCATCTAAACAATCTCAAGTCATTGACTGGTCGAAAATTGAATGTTACTACCGAATACGAATACTGAAAGTCTTTCTGAAGCCACGTACACCATTCAAACTGGCTTGCTTCAACGTTCGCACACTAATGCAGATTAGACAACAGATAGTGTTGGCTATGTCTTTATGAAGTCTTAATGTTGATAAATAAATAATATATTTGTAATATCCCAATGAGTGGAAAAATTAGATTTTCTGACGTTTCGTGACTTAGTGTAAGCCACTTCTTCAGAAAATAAATAACCAAATTAACATTAATCCAAGTTTAAATAGTACAACGGAACAATCCAAGAATTTTATTTTATTTATTTATTTAAACACATAAATATTGGTACAAGGAAGCACCAGATAAGTATGCGCCACACAAATCTCATTTGATTTGTGTGAGAGCTGTGATACTGCCCAGGTGCCCAAACTGAAACAGGTGATCAATCAAAAACAGGTCTGAATAAATCAATGTCAAGTCATTTCATTTCGCTTAAAGTGATTCATAAGGGATATGTATGTAATTTTGTGTGTATGTATACATTGTTAATGACGAAAAATGTGTGACCTTTGTAATGACAAAGGATAGAGTTTAATTTGTAATGTAATGGTGTGAAATTGTAAATAATATTAGACTGGTTGACTAGGATAGATAGTCCAAGTGGGATGTATGGTAAGACCTTCTTTTCTATTGAGGATGGATAAAAGCGGAGAGGTGGTCAGTGTATGACATGGTGTCGTGGTATGAAAGAAAGCTGTACAGGACTGGCTTCTGTTGGTCCTTTACGACTCCCTGGATGGGATCCGAGAGATGGTGCAACATAGTGGCTAGAGACGTTATCAGATATGTCTCAGAATAGAAGCCAGTGGCGAGCCTGCTGTAACCTTCATTTACTTTCTTCATAAACAGTGGTTATAACTTTCTTAACTGAGAGAGTTCTTCTGGTTGTACATTTCAGTTCCCCCATCATTAATGTTCTCTTCTTTTCATCCTTTTTTCTTCTTTTATATATATGCATCTTCCCCCTTTCTCCTCTCACTCTCGTCATTTTGTGTGGCGCATATGTATCTGGTGCCCTTTTGTACCGATATGTTTGTGTTTAAATAAATAAATAATAATAAATTACAAACACAACAATACAGAAAAAAATCACCTGGCGTGGATTAACATTTGGCAGTAAAAAACCGCTATTCTGTACAATGGTGGTGATATCCGCACGAGTACCTTCTCCATTGGGCAAACAAGCCACAGCGTCTCGAACAATTTCAGCTAAACTTACAAACATAGGACGGTCAAGCCGCAGTAAAGGATGGTCTCTAGCCTTTGAGTGACTAGACCAATTACGACCAGAATTATACAACGCTAAGTCATGACTTAAAGGACTTGGAGCTGAGCGTAACGGTCCAACTACAGCGCAGTAGTTTTGTATATGATAAACAAATGGAGACCATGGATGAGAAAAACGTTCAGCTTCCTACAAAGAATAAAAATACGCACAAAACCAATGAAAAACGAAGATTTCTATAAACATTACACAGAAGTGTAGACGGGAAGAAACATATATGAAACCTTGCGTTTGTAATTAAAAGGAGAATTGTAGCTGAATTACCAGCTCGCGCTATCCGTAATTTAAGTGCTAAAAGTTAGCCTACACATTTATGTGTCATTTTAAGAAAATCTTGATAAGCTTTAACTTACACGCGTGACATTCTCTTTCCGCTTATATTTTACAGCCGAGATTTATTAAAAGATAACAAAAGGGTAATTTCAATGACCGGTAGAACTAAAATTGTATCAGGTTCACAACTTGAAGTGCGCTATAAATATTAAGCATATTGATAGGTATAGCTTTAATGAATAACTCATCAAAAAATAATGGTCTATCGCATAGTTTTTTCAGATGATATCGATCAAGTTGAAATGATTTGGGGGGTAAAATAGTCAATTAGAATGACCTAAAACCAAGCGACTTCGTGCAATCACATTAATGATGAGATCTGCAACATAATAGTGCAAGAACAAAAAATGGGGTTCCATCAACCGAAGGGTCATAACTTTCCAGTTCTAGTGATTAAGATCCAATCAGTAAAAAAAACTTAAATTTAAAAATATAGTATCCTTTACGTTAATTAAAAAAACATTTATCGAATAAAATATGTATACTACTAAGTGTTACAAGGAAAAAAAATACTCATAGGAAGAGTTATTCTATTAACGTGAACAAGTGATTTTATGACTTTGCTTAGTTAATTGAAACCAGTTTAGTTGCAGCTTTGCTCACGAAGTCGAATAACTGAAGGTACTCAATGATAAATTCGAAACACAAGTATCATAAACGTGGATAGGTAGCCTAAGGGTTAGAATACTCAGCTTTTAACAGGTAAGTTGTGGGTTCAAATTTCGACTCACCTATTTCGGTTTGGGTAGTTGGATAGTGTCAATGGCCTACACAGTATAGCTTAAAGCTGAGTACAACAATTTGTACATAGTGAATAAGTTACGTTCATAAAACTCGTCAACAAAAAGTAACGAAAAATAACGGCGGGACTTGAAGAATTATACTTTCTCAGCCTAGTTATTGGTATCCAAGTGACCAACTCACTTTTATGAGTCATTTTAAGTGTAGCAGATAAATAAATTAATAAGCTGATATTATGGACAAGGTAAAAGTTATCTGTTTTATCATTAGTTTATTTATATTTAGATGCATAAAAATGCAAACACAAACTTACTTGCAATTGAAAATCAGCCTTCTCTTCCTCTGAAAATGGTCGGAGTTTCCATCTAGTTGGACTGGAATGAAAGAGAAGCTAATTTACAATACCACATGACTGGTGCATAATAGAAAGTATTAGTTTCTGCAGAGAACAAAAAGCTTCTAATATCAAATGATTTCACAAAAATACACGACATAGAAAAATGTCGACTACATAATCTTTATGCCACAATTGCATATATGAACAATTTGTCGGAATATTATGTTTCTGTGCGAAAACACGTACGTACAGTGAAATATCATGGTCAATTTAAACTCATTGATATATTTATCTGTTCTGATACATAACTGTTTAGTTTCCGTGATGTTGGAAGGAGCAACATTTTGAATTAAGAAAGCCGTTATGACACATAGTTCTTTATTTCATTTGTCTAAAACACGAACTTTATTTAAGTACATGGACTGAGCATCTACTGAGCGTGCTAATAACAGTAAGAAGGGTTTATGAATACAAAATCAGTGTCAATAACCAAAGAACCATTTTGATGCTGATCACGATCATTATTCCTGTCCCTAAAGTCGTATACGCCTAGGTTAAAAATTCCTTATCTGTTTAATTTTTAATATCTAAAAATTAAATAACCTTTTAAAAAATACATGTCTCTTAAAAACTGAGTACGAGAAAAAAAGAGTTATGGTCACAATCGATATTTTAAATCTCAACGGTGAAAATATATGGCTGAAAAACTAGATGAAGTCAGACTTACTAAAGTGGTGGAGGAATATCATCGTCGGAATAAAGTCGATTATCTTCGTGGGATATTGACTGTTGAGAGTGTTTTGATGAAACGTTTCTTCTAATCTTTTGGATGTCTCCACTTTTCTTATCGCCATCATCTGACTCAGCTTGGCATTCGTCTATCCGCAGACATTTTTCACCTTCATCAATTTCTGAGTCTTCTACACCACCGTCACCATCAGATTCTTCAGAATACTGTTTTTCCTTAATTGAAGAATTTGTATTCTTATTGGGTTTGACTTTATTCCTCCCACTCACAAGCAAGGAATCTGATATCGACAAAACTGCATCTGTCAGCCCACCAAGACCACGAGGAGCTCGAAGCCAATCAGAAAATAAACTCGTCAACTCGCTGGTTTCCAGTCCAAATTTTTGGATCCATTCTTGGTCAACTTTAGGGTTTATTCCTGATGGAGGATACAGAAGCCAACACCACTGATGAATGCGTGGTTTTAAATTGACAAACGGTCTCGGACAAACAAGTCGGCGAGAACTGTTACGTATGATACTTTCGGGTGGACTTTCCGCGGTAAGAAAATCTAATGCATGATGAGTTACAGAAGACCAGTCCTCAACCTGAATAAAAATCACGCTACATTAAAACAAAACTAAACTAAATGTAGATTGGAATGACTAATTGTTTGTAAATTGATAGTCGTGGAATTGGATTCATATGCCGAGGCAAACTAAGGACCAAACAGGAAAATTATCGTCTAATTGTTATCAAACAAGGGTTTTTATTCAATACAATAAGGGCGCTCAAACACCTTAAGAGCTTCGCATTAAATCCATATATGTGTAATGATACAAAACTGATTGTCAATAACTACATTTCAATCACTGAAGTAGGTGATACAATCGTGGATATTACCCAGAGCAATAGAAAAAGGTGAAATCTACTCAATGACTTGTGATTTGTAGAAATTAAAAAGTTATTGACAGTAAAGTATGAACTGATGGAGTATCTCGGAAATTATCCAATCGTACTAAAAGCTATGAAACAATTGATGTAAATATGCATTTCAGTCTTAAAAATAAAAGTTTTATCTATAAGCATGTTAAGTTTGGCGCTCCTTTAACTAGCTACTAATTTCAAAATGACTTTCTTATAAATACCACATAAGTCAGGATTTTTATGCCCCCGGAAGCCTTGATACAGCCGAGAGTGGGGAGAGTCCGCCTTCCCTCTCGAAATGCTCTCACATGGCTACGCGTATATGGCCTCTGATAGAAGAGTCCTACTCACCGCCTTCTAGTGACGCCGGTGTTGTTTATGGAAGTGAGAGGACGAAAAGCAAAACTCTGGCTATTCGACAGGGTCGGTGGACATGGAGGATCCAACTAGGGGATTTGGAAAACCCTGATTCCAAACCAATGGTACACATGGGCTCCAGGATCCTGAAGAAACAAATGGAGTATGAACTTATTGTTGGTCACCGGCCAGCATGGGATTGCATCTCCTTACGTTGCTCCACTGCCTTATGGATTAGACTTTTAAGTCAAAGGTGCCGGGTGTGGCCTCTTAAGAAAACCACCTGTTTCGGTTTGGGTTCCCACACAGTATCCCAACCCTCACGCAAATCGAATGATGGAGTGTGGCGCATATATATTTGGTGCTTCATTGTACCAGTATTTGTGTGTGTGAATAAATAAGTAGCTTTCTAGCATTACAATACATCGATTATGAATGAGGAACTGCAGAAGTTTGATTGACAGGCAAGTTTATAGAAGAACAGGGGAGTTTGGATCATAAAGTGATTTGAGATTTCATGGAAAGGAAAATTGTATTTGCTGAATTCTCTTTATTGGTGTTCAGTGACATAATGGTCTAATTACACAAACTGCAGAATTCATTTCTAAGGAAGAAAGTGAACCACATTCTTTCAGATATATTTCGAAAATAAACTTTATATAATTTACCCGATCGATCCAGCTGCAACCTCTCCCAACCTTTCTTAACCTGTTTTGATTGCAGGCTTGCCATTCACGAACATATTCACAAATCTGAGCTGTAGTTAGTCTCCTCCGTACACCTCCATGTGTAAGAAATCCTCTAAGTAAACAGAAAAAGCCATTTTCTGACCTATATGTAAATATAGAAGGTTGATAAGAACATTCAAATCATTGATCCACTTAGTTATGAATTCACTATGTAGAAAAATAGATTGCATTCTCCAAGTAGACATTTTATTAGTTAAATCCCTAGTTAGTAATGGAACAGCATGACATTAAGCATATCTCTTTAGCTTGAAATCAAGTTATTTGAAAAAAAATCCACAATGTTTGCAAATAATTCCAATTACAAGATATAAGATGGTATCGTTTCACCCTGAAGCGTACTACAAATTTATGATAAGTTTTACGATAGATGGTCGAAAAGCATGTTCATAAGTCAAATAACACTAAAAAGGGATCCAGTTACTATTTAAATGTAGCGACCGGAATCACAAAAATAAACTTACGACGGCCAGTGATCAACAGGGCTCTTTTCTGATTTACCATTGAAGCATTGAACTCGGCGTATGTGCTTCGTGAAACCTTGTGATACAGCTGGACGAATCTTACGCGATGCAGATCCCTTCAGCTTTTTGACGATAGTATTCCTAGAATTTTTCTGTGATCTGGCAGTCTCTAACAAACGACATAGTTTTTCACGGTTTTTTTCCGAATTTGAATCTTTATTTATGTTGCTTTGACGCTTTAAATACAAGTGAATCATTTTGTCAATACCTAAAAATGAGAAAAAGTTATCTATGAATAACGACGATAGATTTATCTATTGACCGATAAGCCTAAGTTTCGGGATAAAGGAGTTATCTAAAAATGAATGGGTAGTGCTGCTGGATTTACAAGTCCTAGTTACATTATTCTACGGTGGCCATCAACACATTCTAGTAGACAATCACTAGTCAGATGTTAAATCATTTGTCTGAACTTGTCAAGAGAATTTAGGGCCGAGAAGTGTGACAGATTTTGTTTAAATTGTTCTTTGTTTAATTACTTCATTTTTAAACATAACCATGTCAGTCAGTCAGTCAGCTACAACGTAGGACCAGGCACATATATGCATCGGTCCAAGTTGCCATACCTCGTTAACACAACAAGATCAACACCGGATTCATAGAAGTAATCAATTTAGTGGTGGTAGTACATAAAGAAAGATTGTATATAAGGATATAGTATAGGAAGGAAGAACGTTATGGAGCAATTTTAATCTCAAGGTTTAAGGGAAGATAAAGAGTGTATACACCTACGCCATTGTGATCGATTCTGAGCCATGTCACACAGAGTCTCCAACCATTGGTCACGATAGTCACGCGGACCCCAACCAGGTAGTCTGCATCTACTAACATGGCTCAGACTAGAAGTTAGTGACTTCAAACACTGATGTTTTGGTTTGGCCGCCTCTAACTCTCTTCCAACCATCGCCAATACTAGTCAGTAAAGCACGTCGTGGTAATCGGTGTTCAGGCATACGTAATACGTGGCCCAGCCATCTCAGTCGATGAAGATTCATCACCTCAACTGATTTACCATCATTCCCTAATACCCTGCGTCTAACCTCACTATTACTTACCCGGTTATCCCAGCAGATGCGAGCAATATTTCTAAGGCATCTGTGGTCAAATACTAATAACTTACGAGTATCTTCTACTCTTAATGGCCAGGTTTCACAGCCGTAAAGTAGAACAGAGCGAACTGCTGTGCAGTATACTCGTCCCTTAATTGGTAGACGTATATCTTTCCTTCGCCATAGGTGACGTAAGTTGGTAAAAGCCAAACGATCTTTTGAATCCCTGCTGAGATTTCGTCAGACACCAACCCATTAGGGCTGATCAGACTTCCAAGATAAGTGAAGTTGTCGACGCGTTCGACTACTTCACTCCCTATCCCTAGTTTAGATGTTGATGCAGGCCAGTCCTGGAGTAACAACTTGCATTTATAGTGGTAGAAACGCGTCCCAAACATCCTGGCATTGTCGCTCAGTGCTACCAAAACACTGCAGCGTCTTCATCAAATAGGACTATACCATCTGAGTATCCTAAATCGATAAGTGAATTTCCTGGTAGGAGATCAATTTCTGAAAGTCCAGTCGACGAGATTGTTATTTCCAGCAACAGGTCTATAATGAAGTTAAACAAAAATGGGGATAGTGGACAGCCTTGACGGACACCACTTGAGGTTGTAAATTCATATGACAGTTCGCCATAAACTCTCACTCGACTGGTAGTGTTCGAGTAAAGAGCCTTCACAAGGTTTATGTACTTCTCAGGTACACCTTTCAATGACAGACACTGCCACAGAACCTCTCGGTCTACAGAGTCAAATGCTGCTTTCAAGTCAAGGTTGTTCAGTGCTTTAGGTAAAGAGAATAAGCTAACTGTTTGATTTCTAGCATTTATTATAAATACTATCTTTTATATTAATGTTTAAATAACAACACTTAAAACATGAGGTACATAGTAATATATGAACCCGTACAAGATTATGTCAATGAACATTTAGAGGTTCATTTCTTACTTCGAAATTATCTCACCGATGCAGAGTACGGACCGACTTGCATCGGCTGGACAGCACTCTGCTCTGCACTTCTCTATCGCTATGGAACATGGCCTATGAAAGTAGAAGAAATAGGTTGAGTGAAGGTTTCTGATCGTAGGCTTTTTAAAGTGTTCTATCAGAATCCGATGCTCGGAAAATACAACTGTGCCAAACGTATGATAGTTTTTAGCTCGATTATTGTAACGATGTTACATGCACGTATACCAACATCAAGTAAAATTTTATTAAAGGCAGAGCGTACAGACAATAAAGACGGTTGCATTGATTAATAACCATAATAAATACCTGAAGGTGAAATCCAAGAATTACTTGTTTAGAGCACAATAGTTTTATTATGGAATCTGGGTTACTAAAACAGAATAAATAGGATAAACCCGAGCTATGTAACTCAAACGAGACGTTTTGTTAGACATTCAAACACTAGTTTGTTAGCCATTAGTGACAAGCATTTGTTTTATGCTTCAAAATTAGAGTAATCACTTGATCCAAACTCCAAGCAAAATCTACTTTGCCATCTCTATACATTTTGTTCTAGATCTAATGAATACCTTGAAAAATTTACGGAGAGTTGTGGTGTATTGTTTTACCTCAAAGGAAGTAACTGTTTTGGGTGGATGAAAACGGAGAGTAGTGGATGGAACTCCTGAGACTCCAAAGCGATGAGACTACAACTTGTGGACAACCTTCGGGTGACTCTAAAAAGAACTTGAGAATATCCACCTACATACTACTACGAAATTAGGGTTATAAACAGTATGAGGAATCAGAATTAATATTTACAGTTGATAGTTAGGGTTGGGAATTAGATATAAGGTTTTCATCACGAACTGACATCAGCTATGATGCCAAAACTCTGTTCAGCCAAATGAATCAATTAATTAGTACTATTTACGTAACCAAAGGTACAGGTAAAGTAACTGTTGAACCAGAATCAATCTAAATTAAATGGAAAATTTACATACCGATTTTAGTCTCTTTATCATTAATTCCGGGTAACTTGGGTCCTTTTACCTGGAGTTCAATATCATTTATTAACCTATACGTGCATAAGCAACCGTAACAGTTATATGAAACCAAACCTCTCGTAACGATATGCGGCTATTGACTTTATTTGGTTTTCTACCTCAGCATCAACATCAAGGAAATTATTTTGGGCAGCGCACGCCTCATTACGTGAGTTCTATCAATTTAGTGCATAAGAAAAGTTAATGTTTTGCCTGTTTGTTTTCCATATCTTTTCCAAATTCAGAGAATATAATATCTGCTAAAGCTTTTCGTCTTTCTTTTAACAAGATGCAAAACTCCTCCGCCCTCATTATCGTTTGTTAGGTCTGTCTCCCAATGTCAACGCTGAAAACCAAAAAGGGAGGCATCGATACCATGTCCAATGTAACGGGAGGTTTTAGATTCATACTTGGTAAATGGACAGAGTTAAGTGATTGGAAATACTTTTTAGTGGTTTCTTTTTTTTCTAGTTCTCTTTTACTTAAATCGAATGTAAGAACAGAAACTACTTCTTTCGGCAATAGATTCTAGGTGGTTTTCAACGACAGTTATTGGGGTGTTTTTAACACGCCGAATTCCTTCGTCATGGTTCACATTGTACCCTAACCTGTCAGATAATCTTAGACTGAGCCAAGCGTTTCAGCTGTGTTTTCTATTACATTTATCTATTGTTTGACTGAAATAATGAAGGGATTTGTGTTTTGTTAGTAGATCACTAACGTAGATGATCAGTGTCGAATGGCATGGTCGAAAAGTCATGTCATTGATTCTCGCTTATGTGTTACATGTTGTCGCGGATTTCTAACGTCGTTTTTTGTCGGTTAATCACAGTATTTTTCCGTCACATGTTAATTTTTGTAATATTTATGCGTGTTACATGGCGTTTATTGCAGTCTATTGGTTGCCTGACGTATTTGCAGCTGACAACCTGGATGAATGTTTAGTCAGCCTAACTTGGTAATTTGTAACAATGCAAACTCAGGCAAGTGAAATTCATCATTTATGAAGTCAAAAATACACCAAAATTACAGTTTAAAGCAAAAACAAGCTGTAGAATAATTTACATATGACTTACCTCCCTTATTATGGTAGTGACCCAAACAACCAATAAAGTGGAAATAAAAGCGAAAAAAGGGGTGAATAAAGCGGACGAAAGCGTAAATAAAGGGGAAATGTCACTTTTTCGCCTGCACGTGAGGGACAGATTTGTAAGCACACAACATGATTTTTATCCTTCATTCCTATTACAGATGGCCATGTTGACGCGTTTAATGGATGATGATCCTAAAACCTCTATGCGATATCTTCTGTCCTGCGTCATGAAACCTGAAGTCGCCATTAATTTCACGCTACTTGGTACTTTATCAAAACGAGCGATTCAGAAGTGCCGGTTTTATGGCTGCGTACGAAGTAAGATAAATAAGGATTTTAAACTTCAGGTGCATTTACTAATCGATCCCTGTCGTCATCTGTCACTGAGAAAGACCTTGCAAAACTATATGACATGGCTACACAAAGTTATTTTCACGACATGGGAGACAAAGTACAGAAGCGTCATCGACGGAAGAAAGAACACGTATGTACGACTTTAAAGTGATTATTGTTTTCCCGTTATCTATAGGTAGAGTCTTCCGTGTTCAAGGATATGACCGTAAGTTCAGCTTCAAGTACCTTGTTGTGCAAAACAAGTTTCCTAGATGTAGTAACGTCCTTCTTCATTACATTTTAGAATTCAGAAGAATTATTTGAGTCTCCATAGTCCAAAAGGCCTGATGGAAAGAAACAATTCGTGAAATATCTGGTCCGTGACAATTGCAATTACATCAGGAACATTGATGCTCTACCATCTGCCAAGTGCTCATGACGTTGTACAATAATAAGCTTTTTGTTTTCAATAAAAATCTGGAACTTATACCATATATTACGTACATTATATTATTCGTGTGCTGTGTTGTGGGAATGAAGGTGAACACAGGAGGCGGTCGGGGTAAATACAGCAGCGTTTTAAAAGTGGGCGCTTAAATTACATCGGTGTGCATGTAGTAGAAAAATAGACAATTCGTCGGATATTTAGGGTGAAAATCGGCAATTTAGCGACATTTGAAAAACAGAGCGACAGAAAGGGGGAAATTTCGCTTTATTTCCCCTTTATTGGTTGTATGGGGATGAACGTGGGTGTTAGTAGTTGTTTATAAATTGTAATTGAGAGTCAAACTATTCATGAATCTTGTAATGGTAAAATAATAATCATTCCATGCGACGTTCCTAATGGGAGTTTGTTTTTCTATTGCAGGGCAACAAAGAGTAAACGCACTGGAAATAGAGGAAGAAGCCCTACGCGATCTGAACGAGCAGAACAATGAATAAAACTATTCTGTAGAAAGTTTCCCCTTTTGCACTCAACCGTGTCTTTCAATTTTACAGATATATCTGTTGTACCAGCACATTGTGTTCTTACTTCGACGGCACTTACCGGTCCTCACTGTAGTGTTGTTGTTTCAGATCGCTCCTGCTTCAAAGTGGACGTCAATATATGACGTGCTACATTACGATATGAACTATTAATATACAGCCGTAAACAATTTAATCCATGATAAGTATCATCGTTGTTAACTGGACTGATATGTTATTATGTAATGTGAGAAAAAAAATTGTGTTAGTAACAATTGGCGTTGATAGATTTTTCTGTCCGCTTTCTGAATTTATACAGAAATTATGTAGAATATTACTGTAAGTGCCACATAAGTTTGCCAAATACTCTTCTTAAGTAAAGCGATGCGTGTTTGTTATGAGCGTGGTAACTAAAACATGTTGTAGATAATACTATTTTACGATGTCTCGTATTATTATTATTATTAATGACTTTATTCTATATTATAATCTGGTACAATATAGAATTCTCAGCACGAGTTATTTCAACAAGTTTTTTCCCCAAAAAAAATAAAACCAAAAAAAGAAAAAAAACACAACAAAAAACAGAAAAGGAATAAAAAAGGTTTAAGAAAATCTGAGTTTATACAAATTATCGAATATGAGACATGCTTAAGAAGACAGGTTATTTACTAGGTCAACTCTAACAGCTTGTTCGTCACAAAGTAAATTAGCTAAGTAAGGTATTACAGAACTTTTATAGATTTGCTTGCGTGCATGAATTTTAATGTATTTACGTCTCGTTCTACCAGAAGATATACAAGGAGAAAGATATGAATAAAGGGGATGTTTAGTATCTGATAACACCTGCCAAGAGTTTGCAAGCCTTAAGATGTCTATCCACAAGCATATTAACAATGACTTCAAAAGATTCACCACATACCTTGCAAACTGCCTTCAGCACTCTACGCAAAATAGCAAAGTCTTTTCTCAAAAGCCCAGGAAAGAATAATGGAGAACAATATAAAATAATAGGTAATATGCAGGAATTTACAAATTGTAAGAGTAAATGGCGAGTAATCCCAAAAGCATGCAGCCTTTTTATGTAGTATGTCAAACGGTAAACTTTTTTCGATAACAGTAAAACATGAGAAGACCAAGAAAGATCAGAGGAAAAAGTAACACCAAGATATTTGACCTTCGACACTGTGTTTATTAAGGAGTCTCCAATGGCACAAGCATTATGAGATCCCAAAATAGAGTGTAGGTTCTGTCCATGTCTCAAGCTAAAATTAACAGCTCGACATTTAGATGTATTGAGTAAGAGACCATTACCAACAGACCACCTTTCAATACGAGATAAAAAGTCATTCATTTCTATAGGATGTAAGGAGGTAGAAATTGGCATACATACGGTGAGGTCGTCCGCATATTTTACAAAAGTGTTTTCCGTGGAAGATGGCAGATCATGCAGAAAAAAAGAGAAGAGCAAAAGTGAAAGAACAGCTCCTTGTGGCACACCTACAGTAGACAGTAGAGATGTTGAACACTTTCCTTCAAATACAGTGTACTGTTCTCTCCCAGAAAGGTAGGAACATAGCCAATTGGTTATCCAGCTGTCAATGTCGATGCTGATCAGCTTGTTAAGTAAGAGATGTCTTGGAATAGAATCAAAAACAGAAGTAAAGTCCAGGAAAGCGCATCTAACATACTTCTTACCCTTTTCCAACCCGAACACTATATTGTGATGCAGAACAGCAACGGCATGTAATGTGCTTCTTTTGCATTTGTAAGCAAACTGATATGGATCACAGTGCTCTTTTATTACAGGTTGAAGTGGTTGTATCAGTAATTTTTCCATTAATTTGAGGAAAGGTGAGGTTATTGCAATGGGTCTAAGTTTCGCATTTTTATCACCAGAAGCTTTCTTAGGTATGGGGATTACCTTTATCTTTCTCCATATTTTCGGTAAGACATTAGTTGAGAAGGATCTGTTAAAGATATTCGTTAATGGATAACATAAAACATCGGCACATTTTTTAAAAAGGAGGTTTGGGATACCATCAGGTCCTAAACATTGGGATGAATTCAGAGACTGGAGACATTTCCGGACATCATTTTCAGTGAAACTGGGGACACAATTATTCTTCAAACCCTTGGATATAGGGAGCATGATGTCAGATGACTGTTGAATAAAGGACTTATTTAAGTCACAAACATTTAGCTGGTTATCGCTTCTAGTCTGCCTGTCCCCTGTAATTTCTTTAAAGAGTTTCCACATACTTGGAGAGCTTCTGCAAGATAGAAGTTTTTGAGTGAACACACAGTTGGGACGTCTAATCTCTTGGTTTATTTGATCATTTAACTTACGAACTTCAATAGTGTTTTTCTCCTTGTACATCCTTTCTTTTACCCTCCGTAGTCGTTTTAGTTGTGGAGATGTAAGTCGATCAAAACTTAAAAAGAAGGTTTCGGTAGGACAGCAGATATCAAAACAGAATTTAAGATAAGAGGTGATAACATCCGTTGTGTTTTCTATTGAGTCATCTGTAAATAATTCCCAGTTGGTTGTACGAAACATGTTTTTTAGATTTTGTATATTTTCTTCTGAGTAATTCCTATATATTACTTTTTTGGTATGGTGTATGTGTGTACTCTTTCCATGTTTACCATATACTTTAGGTAAGACACGAATTAAACAGTGATCCGAACTAGACAATGGAGCACGTTTGCGAGTCACATAGGGACCCACATCATTAATGAAAACCAAGTCTAGATGAGAATTCAAACGAGTAGGAAAATCTACTACATTTAGGTGACCTAGTGATGTAAGGAAGCTACAGTCACATGAATTGAAATCACCACATACAATTGAAAGTGAATCACTGAAGGCAGTAACGGCGAATTCAGTAAATTTATCAGTGAAGACAGATAGCGCAGATGATGTGCAGTCTGGAGTCATGTAGATATTGGTAACATAAATATATTTGTATTTATCCAGGTGTTTTGGA